CTGTGGCAGCAGCTCCACACTCTGCGCCGCTGCCGCCTCTGCAGCTCTACGTCACTGCCCTGCTGCGGCCCTGCGCTCCACGGTGCCAGCTCTGCACTCTGCGCCACTGCCCTGCGGTGGCGGCCCCGCGCTCCACAGCCGCTGCGGCCCCGCGGTCTGCGGTGGCGGTACTGCCGCTGCAGCAGGCCAGATAAAATGGTTTGGCAGGCTGCATGTTGGACAAGCTTGTTCTAATGGCTTCACTGAGAAAGTTTATGAAGACGACTGGCTTCCAAAACTGACCCATCACATACTGACAATGACAATCCATGAATAATAATTATAAGAACAAATGTGAGAGGCAAGGATTTTAGTGGGTGATATCTTTCATTGGACCATATGTATAGCTAGAAGGGACACAGACAGGCCAAGAACAAACTAATAAAAGAAGTAGCCACAGCTACTGATCTACAGAGGCTGTTAACAAGTCTGATTGGAGTTACAAGTCAATGGGAATCATGGCAACACCATTTTTATGAATTAATTTGTCAAAGGCTGACAAATTTGACAAATCTGAGTTTCCCTTTGCAATGATCACACAGTGCGTATCATTTGTAAACTGCAGTTATTAGAAATCTTAGTAGGAGTATAAGCTTCATTGTTGGATTATGTCCCAGAAAAACCACCGCAAGAAGAAAAACACAGAATACTCATTTATATATGCTAGTATAAATCTCCATATGCTCTAGAAAAGCTAGAATACCTCAACAGATATTCTCACAAGCTGGTCTCATCATATTAAGCAGACTTAGTGCTTTGGTTTAAATGCCAAACACACAAGCAGTTGTCAATTCTAGAGCAAACAGGTAAGTATGTGGGACACTGACAACCAGAGAAGGTCACTAGGTCTCATTTACCTTAAATAAGTGAGCTCTAGCCTTTAAAGCAGTGTTTTGCAACCTTTTTAGACTCAAGGCACCCATTGGAAAAAGCTGGTGCTTAATTTTCACTCATTTTTTGACTACAGGGGGGAAAAAAAAAAGCATTTGTTTTGTTGTATGTGGATGCTCCAGACCACAGGCTCTGCCATGTTGCCCTGCCCCCTGGTGCAGGGACAGAGTACCTGGTTGCTGCTGCAGCCACAGCAATGCATGGAAGGGTGGCCACCAAATGAGAGCCTAGGGTTAGAGGTGCGAGGTGGCACAAATGAACCCCTTGCAGGCCACATGCAGCCCATAGACTGCACATTGCTCTGGATAAAGATTTGTGCACAAAGCTTGTTTTCTACTCGGTGACTATCACTGTAAAGGGGGTGAAGAATGCAAACTTGGATGCTGAAGCACCTCCCTAAAGTTTTATTATAAGCCAATCTTTGCACTCCAAATTTTATATGAGTAACATGAAAAATGCATGTTTCCATCTGTACTGTACTGTAAAAATGTCATTTAAAACATGTCTAAAATATTACTAAGGAAGAACTATCACCTATCAGGGTCAACAGCATCAGAAGTCCAGGGTTACTCAAACAGCAGTATGGCAAATAAAAAGAATATAATCATTTGGCCTGAAGAAAGCCATTTCCCATTCCAGAAAGCCCTTGCAGCTTCCTGGGCTTCATACAAATGTTAAGTTCTGCATTATCCAGAAGGACAGCAGGAAACCCATCAGCAGAGTCCTGAAAATTGTTAAAATACTAATGCCATAGTAGTTAGTATTTTTGACATTTCTAGGGTTTCTCTCATTACATGACTACAACTTGCCATGAAGTGACATTTCTAGGGATCAGAACAGACAGGGTGCCATACAATACTGCCCCAGTGCAGTTATCATGCTCTATTTACTCTTTTTGTGCTAAAAATAAAGTCATTCTTCGAATATGTCTTGCTTTAAAATGTAATTAGATTTATCCAGCTAAAAATCAAAAAGGGCATACAGCTTCTAGTACAGTTGTACAATACACACTATCCTAACATAA